TTTCCCAAAATAGCCCCAAAAAGGTGGTTTTTTGAGGAATGAGTGCCATATTATAAATCAGCGTCATGAAAAGGCCTGGATAACATGAAAACATGGAAGTCGAAAATCTGCCTGGACAATGCCTTAAAAAAAAGATTTTAGGGCACAAAGTACAGAAGTAGTCAAAATCTAAAGAACGCGACTCTAATTACCTGCAGATAATCTCCCTCCATCCACATATATTTATCTGCGACTCTCACTGGTTCAGCTTCCACAGTCGGTCGCCTAATTTCGACCACCTATGCGAATGAAACTTGTTCTCTACCAGAAGGCTCGAACAAAGACCTACATCATTAGTTCCCTCTGCATCATCCACTTCTCTTGCAATTTTCCTCAGATGTTCCGTGTTTTCCCCTTCGTTCTCGTGTTCTTTCTGGAACACAATCTCACATGCGAAAACAGTTAAAAATAAAAAGAGCGAAATCCGGCACCTGCATCTTGCTGACAGATCGCTCCATGCGCTCCAACTTTCGCTCAATTAGCTGCAGTGCCTCATCAGGTCTGGCACGAAGAGTAGGACACAGTGCGGACCAAGGGCCCTCTCCTATGCGGCGGAGCCAGCGCTCAACTGTAGATGATGTTTCCACCTTCAATGCAAATATAATGCAAAGAAGATGAGGTAACAAAGCAAAATGTACTATTATTTAGATTACCTTTCCAGTAGCCTTTGCGACGGCTTCACGGGTTCCCCAGTTGATCACATTCAGATTAATTAGCGAATAAAGTGACAAAAATACATAAGTCGAGGGTATCATGAGGAAAAAGATGATACCTAGGATTCAAAAATCATTCTTGACCTTTAAACCCTCACCTTTTACTAACCGTAGATGATATTCGTGAATTCTTTTGGATGTAGACATGCAGCAATGAAAAACACTATGACCATTGTCACGATGAACATCGATGTTGGTGAGATTACAGCTAAAAAGTTTTCAAAAATTCAAAACTTCCGCTTTTAAATTGAAAACTAGACTTACTTTCGAGAACAATTTGTGATGCTGTAGCTACCAATACCGCAAGCATTACAAAAGCATAGACGATTGACATGAACTGAACCAAACATTCACAAAAATAAAGAGTGAAAGCAGAAAAAAATTGGTTCTGATAAAAATAGTACCTTCGCGTAGAAAAGCTGCACATTAGACTCGGTAGTAAAGCAAAGTATGATGAACAAGGAAATGGGGACGCCATTGTACAGCATCATTCTGGCAGAATCCACTCCAAATGCGGCTACCTGAACATTGTATGAATAAAATGGAACATCAGCAAAAATCAGAAAGCAATTAGAATCAAAAGAATAATTAGAAAAAGTAGTAAGAGTTGCTAGGACATAAGCATACTTTCGCATTACCAGGCTTGCAGTTTTGATGTTCAAAAGAACTCATCAGCATCACAGCTTCTCCAGTTATGGAAAACTCTCCTCAATCGACTAAACAGCTTGTCACCAACCCATTAATAAAGATTCTGATCCACAACTATCACTGCTCCGTGAGCACTGTGATACCAAATTTGTACGTGCCTCTATAGCTCAGTGGCAGAGCGTCTGTCTCGTAAAC